TGAAGTCAAACGAGTTATGAAACAAAAGTCGACAAACATTGTCGCAACTTAGGTTCATAAGTTTACTTAAATATTAAGTTAAATGTTTCTAAGCTTTTCTCCTAATTTATAAGGAATTACGGGATGATCTACCCACCACATTAAAGATCTACGAGTATAGTTTCCAACTCATTAAACCATTTGTCAATTTCATCTCGGAGTATAGAGATATTCATATTTTCTCAAGCCTGCGCAGATTGGTAGATGACAAGTAGGTGCATCACCTACTTGCCAAAATGATAGGACAAAATTAAAAGACCTAAGTTAACCAAGAGAGGACTTTTAAGGGGTTATGAACTCAGTTATTTAATCCATATTTCAGACCCTCAATACCAAAGTTAACCCCTGCAACTCCTCCCCAAAAATCCCACACAAACCCTAATCGATTTTCCCTCTCTTTCAAGTTCTATTTGAAGGTAAAACCTAGAGTTTGAAGAACCAAGGGAAGGGATGAGTTATCCAACAAGTAAGGTAAGTTACTTCCATCTTTCATACATTTTTCTCTGCTGTTAATTCATGGTAATTTGTTCTATACATGTAAGAACTCACGGGACAGTGATCAGAAGCCGTGAGTTCGAGTTATTCACTTGTAGCGGACTGTTTTGTGGACTGTTTTGTGTTGCTATTAGGCTGCATATTTTACTACTATTTTGTGGAGTTTTGGAGGTGGAAGGGTGTGGAGGAACACCATATATATATGTAGGGTTGTGGGCTGATAGTGATTCGTAACATTTCCGGGTCGTTTGAAATGACTACGGTGGTCGTCGTATGTATGATGTAATTAGGTTGTGCGTGGACTGTTTTGGGAGGCTTAATATGTTTATTATTGATGTTGTTTGGGCTGTTTGGTGATTGTTTGGAATGGTGTGAAGTCATATATATAGGGGAGGTGCTGTCCGTTTCAACGTAAAATAGGTTGTGGTCGATACATAATAGTTATGACGCTTAAATGATAACGATAGTATCGTTTCTCTTATTGTAGACTAAGGAGTTGTGACAATTGCATAGCTTGTGATTGGGGCAGTATATACAAGGTATGTGAGGCTATCCCTTTTCTTCTTTTGCACGACTCCGATTGTACATAATGTAATGAACGAGCTTCCAAAGATACTCTACTCTTAGAAGCTAGCAGTACTTACATTGCTTTCCCTCTTATGGAACGATTGATGTTAATGTTGCTTCTCTTATTCTTATGTTATCAATATTTTTGGTACTTCCTGACTCTTATAAGGTTCGTAATGAAGAGTTGGTCCTAATAACGTGTACAAAGGATACCGACCTTACGTCACTCCAAAATGTTTAGAATGTGATTCCATGAGTCGAGCATACATTATATATATGTATCTATTTTAATATACCGAGCCGCGCTATAGTTGGCCGGGTACGACACATATTGTGCAACTACTGATCAGTTCGGTTTTACCGAGCTCCACGTGGCCGGCTACGATTCTACCGAGCCTTATGATGGTCAGGTACGTTTTTACCAAGCCTATTATGGCTGGGTACGATATGATGATGATGATGCCCACATAGGCGTATGTTTTAAAAGTTTATGTACACATACATATGTATCATGCATTTCATGTCAGTAGCCCTCAGAGGTACTCAGATGTTCCAGATTGTATATTCTCTATCCCTGCTTACATTACTGTTCATATTTATGGTTCCGTGCGTTACATACTCAGTACTTTATTCGTACTGACGTCCTTTTATTTGTGGACATTACATGACGTGCTGCAGGCCCTAATAGATAGGCAGGTGCAGCTCCCCCACCACAGTAGGTTGTCCAGTTCAACAGTGATTGGCGAGATCCCTTCTCCAGACTTGCCGTGGTCTTTGTATGCATTTTTGTTATAGACATTATGGGTATGTCGGGGCCCTTTTTCGGCTATGTTGCAGCACTTATGTTCATTTAGAGGCTCTTAGACAAGTGTCGACTCATGTATAGTTTGGTATGCCTTGTCATCTAGTTTTTGTTGTATAGTCTTTCATGGTAGCGTGGTAGCTCATACCTTATATGTAGTTTCTAGATTGTCTGGTCATCCCCTGCTATGTATGTTCATGCCATCATATTTTATTGCTGGTTGTCCATGATCCAGGTCTACCATTTATATTGATCTCGTCAACCCTAAAA